CCACTCATCATACACCACTCATCATACACCACTCATCATACACCACTGATCATACACCACTCATCATACACCACTGACCATATACACCACTCATCATACACCACTCATCATACACCTCTCATCATACACCACTGATCATACACCACTCATCATACACCACTCAGCATACACCACTCATCATACACCACTCATCATACACCACTCAACATATGCCGGGAACTACTTGTAACCACAGCCATACTTTTTATAGCCTGTGAACTGTTCACAAGCTCTTGGCTGCATTTAACGGTTGCACTGCTACATGGGAGCTGATCACAGGACTTGATAACTTTGACGCACTCATGGCGATCACTGCGTGTTTGCTGGACAATGCTGCATCAACATTGGCAACATCTTGCAAAAAGTTCAACAAAAGTAGGCCAAATACCTTGGAAAAAGGGTCAAATAGACAGAACTCGACTTATTCCCGAAGCCTCACCAGCCGCTCCGATTTGCTAGTCAGAAATGTGTTTGACTGTTTTGTCCATCTCCGAAATGACGTTCGCTCAAACGCTGAAAGACAAACTGCTGAGCATTCCGTCTCTCAGGAAGAAAGCAGAAAGCAGCGCTTCAGGCACTTGAGAACCGCCTGAGATCTCGCCCGGTAGCGTATGAGCCAGTCACCGAATGGTCAGCTAAGGAGTCATCCATATGTTTCGCATCAACCGGGACCATAGGAGTTGTAGATTTGGGGGGATCTCAGACCGTCGAGCTTTTGAACAACCTCCCACCAGAAATCAAAGCAGAAGGTCTCCTGCAACCTCGTTTTCAGATTCGGCAATCGCCAAACGTTGACCAGCAAGGTGGCACTGTTTCTCCCAGCGCGCAACACGTGGTTTCGCATAGCGATCGTGCCTGGCCAAACGCCGTTATTGTTGTCCAGCGCATTTTTGAGAACAATCCAAGCAGTGATTGACACTGAACAAAACACTCTATGGAGTAAGTAGTTGGGCACGTTCTTGGAAACCACGTAATCTCCTTCCAACCTGATGTTACTTGACAACCCAGCTTGGCAACAGGAGGCATCGCATGTCGAAGACACAGTGCAGGTACAGGAACCGGATCCGGTTCAATCGCCCAATCGCTTGACAAATGCCATAGTGTCCAAAACAAAGCCAGATTTGCCTCAGCCGGAAGCAGAACAGGGCTTCCAAAGTCCGACGCATGAGAAGTTAATCAAGACCAACCGTTCCAACGTCGAGATGAGGGAAACCCAGGCTCAGGCACCAATAGAATCAACCGGCCAAATCGATCCTCGAGTGTTGCTCACGAGCTCTCAAACAGTGATTCCGGTGAAGCCCATTCGACCTACTCCTGATGGCAAGTCTCACGCAGCGCTTGGCCAACTTCCAGGAGGCCAGCAAGAAGGAGCACGCCAAAGAAGAACAAGTGAATGAATGTGAATCAGATGACCCTCCAAGACCTACAAAGCTTGCCCATCAGTTTTGGCAAGGCAAAGCTGGGTCAAACGTTCGAAGAAGCATTCAAGGACCAAGCCTGGACGAAATGGTGTGTGAGCCATTACGAACACAGCCAAAAGATCGAGCTTGTGAAGTTCCTGCGGTTTGTGAGCCTCCAAATAACCGAAGGTGCAGCCGGAAGTCTCAGAATATTCCTCCCGAAAACATTCCAGTCCCTGAAGATGATGATCTGTTTTGCGGTGCGCACCACCTCTCGGAGGAACAAGCATGGAGATTCGAAGTCGACTTGTCATCCAAGGACCCTGACATGGTGGAGAAATGATCCTCAACCAGAAGCAGTCGCCTTTTTGGTGTCCGCTGCGAAGAATCAGAAAACAGAGGTCAAAATGTCCACGTTGACCGAACAGGAAAAGAAAATGTTTGTAGAAGCAAAGAAAAGGAACTGCAAAGCTGGCTTGACACACAGACTGTGTGCGAGATATTCCGTCACCAAATACCAGAAAGCAGTATTATTAAGCGCAGGTTGATTTTATCATGGAAAGACGCCGAACTCAACACTCATTTAGGAAACAACAGCAAAGATAACGCAAATAGGAAGGCCAAAGCCCGCCTAGTGATCCTAGGCTACCAGGACCCGGCCCTCAGCGAGCTCGAAAGGGATAGTCCCACGCTATCGAAGTTGTCTAGAAACCTCCTGCTTCAGCTGTGTGTTTCGAACCGTTGGCGCATCGGCAGCTTTGACGTCAAGACCGCATTTTTGCTAGGACAAGCAGACACACGACTGCTAGGAACTCAGGTTAAAATGGGACTCAAACCCAATGAAGTCTGCCAATTGCTCTTGCAAGGGTGCATACGGTCTCGTAAATGCTCCACTGTTGTGGTTCCGTGAGCTGACAAAAGCATTGCAGGAACTCAACTTCACGGTGTCACCTTTCGACCCCTGTTGTTTTGTGCTGTTCGACGAGCAAAATCAAGCCCAAGGGTTCATCGGCATTCATGTAGACAATGGACTGTTCGCAGGAAACACAGAATTCCACAAGAAGATAAACCCGCTAGACCAAAAGTTTCCTTTTGGAAGTCTCAAAAGTCAAAATTTTGTGTTTACTGGCCTCCAAGTTCATCAACATGAAGATTTCTCAATCACGGTAGACCAAACACAATATGTGAAAGACATCAGTCCCATCAGTATTGACAAAGAGAGACGGAAACATTTGGAGGGACCTATCAACGAACAAGAACGTCAATCTCCCAGGGGATTAATAGGCAGCCTCCCATATATGCCTCAGTGAATACCCGTCCAGACCTTGGCAGCAGACTCAGTTTTCTGCAAAGCAAATCAACAATGGACAGATCCGAAGGCAATAAACTGCTGCATGATGCCAAAGTCCATTCCGCTGTAAAGTGTCGATATCAACATATATCCAAGAAGATGTTCGATTTGCGATTCTCCGACGCATCATTTGCCTCGGAAAAGAACCATGAAGGAATGATGATAATGACAGCGCACCAAGATATTGGCCAAAACCACAAAAGTGTAGCAAATCCAGCGGTATGGTCGTCCAAGAAGATCCAAAAGGTCGCTCAGCACGCTCTCAGCAGAAGCCATGGCTCTAGCTGGAACCATGGACTATCTAGCTTGGTGTAGATTGTATTGGGGCTGGTTACTTGACCAGAGCTGCAAATGGCGCCTTGGTGACCTGACTTTGAGTCAATCGCCACCTGCCTTTAAGCCTTCAAAGATGAACCATGTCTCCAAGACCCCAATTCCACGTTGAGCGAATACTTGTTCAAACTCCAAGCAGTAGGTAAGGATGATGCAATGATCGCCACTGATTGCAAAAGCCTCTTTGAAGAAGTAAGCCGCGCGGCTCCTCCGGCATGTCAAGAGTTCCGCACGTTGTTACAAGCCCGACTGATAAAAGAAAATTTAGCCACTGGAGTCACCATTCGATGGGTTCCGTCAAGCGCACAGATTGCCGATTGTCTCACAAAGATTATGGATAACTCCACTCTCAGAGAAGTGTTGAGCGTAATTAGGTAGGTACCAACTCCAGGACGAAGATGAACTTCTCCGCCACCGCTCAGACCGAAATGCAAGGTTGAAATGGATTCGAAGCCACCAAGTTCCAGCGACGGCGCAAGATTAACAAAAGGAAAAGCCAAGACGTCCTTCGTCAGACCTTTGGACGCCACACGACCGTCCTGCCGCATGCTCGAAATTAGTTAAGGGGAAAGACCACTTGGATAGTAGAAAGGCTTCAACTAAGCTCGAAGTAAAACCCAAGTGAAGTTAGGGAAGAATGCATAGCATTCGAGGGGCTATCAGTCTGCTTTGATTGCGTAGGGATGCATAGAACTTTCAACAGTGCTATGTTCAGCAATCGGAACATGTTGAACAAACAAGAATTTTGGGAATGTCAAATCGGCATTTCAGGGACGTGTCACATGTTCCTATACCTGCGGCCACTTCCAGTGCAAGGGCAGGAGGGTGGCGTCGCCTTGTGCCGAGATCAGGAAATCTCAATCCTTGAAGCGTGAATCGCTTTGGATAGGAAAGGGGCTGCGGTGTGTTTGAGCGCACGGCGCTGGGAGGAGCAGAGCAGGGCTCCAGGATATACATCCAGGTGAATTCATTAAGGTGTTGTTGCATTGTATTTGGGATTGCGTCCACCTCCGGAAGACTTCCTGCCAGTATCAAACCCTTTGCGGCTTTGATAATATGTATACAGAAATATGAATATGGATAATTTTGTATGGATGGTTGCGCGGGTCAGAATGCTTGAGGTGTTCAACGAGATGACCGATGTCTCTGTAACGCCACCCCAGCAAAGTGTTTTCCTGGAACTTGCTGCGATTTTTCCCGGTGATGTTTCAGGTGTCATGTTGAGTTTGACTGCAACGCTGTCCTGGAGTGTTTGCTGTCCAGGCCCGGGGTGGTGAGTCTCGAGCCAAGCTGCTGGCCAATACTTCAACGTTCTATTTTTTGCAAGCCAACTAAGTGTTTATTTGCCTATGTTCTTTCACTTGTCATTCAGGCTTTTCGGTGCTCATCGAAGCTCATGCCAGGGCAGGCGCGCCGGTTGTGGCAACTTGTTTGATGGACACCTTACTTTGTTTTTGTTTAATATAGCCCAGTATTTTGAATGGCAAAGATGCAACAGGACATCGGAAGGCGGCAGAACAGGCTGGGCAAGGTTAAGTTTCAAGTTTCATGCAAGTACAGCCAACAGAGAGCATCAGATAGCATCATCCAATGAGAGTTCAGCTATATATATATATAAGAGTTCTTGCACGATCACATTGTGAGACAGGGCATTCTTCACACACTTGCTATGGTTCATGTCTTTGCTGAACGTTCAAATTCTAGCTGTTGTATTGTCAAACATGTGGCAACATTCCCGCCAATGGTACATGGTAAAAAGATGGGCCTCTTTGCAAACAGAAGATTATCGGTTGGAAGTGGTCTGGTTGTTTTTCAAGTCAACAAACTAACCAGATCAAACAAGTGAGAATGCCAGCCACGCACATCAACATGTTTCTGGTGCATTGGATCCTGACATAAGCACAATAGCCATGATTTGTTTCAGCAGCAATTGCTGCATGGTATGGGCCCAAGAAGCCATTCCATGACATGTTTGAGCAAACCGCGCAAGATTTTGATAACGTTGCTGTCGTCCAAAAACTAGACTCTTTAGACATCCAACAGCCGTGGAGATTGGAACGTAAAGACACCGTCAGTTGGGCGTTGGCATTTGTCCTGCTGTTCTCAGGGTGCCACTCAGGTCTCGGATAGCTCTAACCCCAAGGAAGCCATCTCAGAGTGTATTCCAGACACTTGCACAGCCGTGCATGTTGTCCTTACGTGACATGTGGCTGTTTGAGGTCGTGGAGTGCGAAGAGGTTTGCACTGGACCTTTGGAAGTGCTGAGAGGCCATTTCCTGGGCCCTCGGCGACCGAGAATGATAGAGGTTGTAGATGCAGCATTGATACAGCATAGGAGCAAGGACGCTACTAGGGGCTCCTGGCATCGCTACTAGTAACAAGAAGCTACTAGGGGCTCCTGGCCTTACTACTAATTTGGATATCTCATGTTGGATGTCCAGAGTGTGTCCACACCGTCCAAGATTCTTCTCAGATGGCATGGCTAAATTGTGGGGTAGCATTTCCAGCTAGCAAGCCGTTGTGTCAGACTGACCTTAGTTGGAAAGTCATACAGAAAGAAGGACCCCGTTGCAAAAAAATATATTTGTATATATATAATATATATATATATTATATATGATAAACACATATAAACAAGCTATTGCAATCACAATATGGGGGAGTAATGAGCAAGCCCCGTTTGAGGCCACATGCCCGTAGTCGCGAGAAAAGCGTGCTTCAGTGACATAGAGACTGAGTCGACTGAGTGCCTTGCCTCTTATTCAAAGTTAGTCAAAGTGCACGAAGTTGGAAGGCCTTTTTGCGTTTGTTTACTTGAGTGTTGCCACCAGGATTTTTGGTTGTGCATGTTGCGCCATGATGGTTGCTCGGACCTTTGCATTCATGCTCGCCTCTCTCGTGCCGTGTGCTACAACCAAGGCATGTCATGGCAACTAAACTGCACAGAGAGAGAGAGAGAGGCAAAACGAGCTGGGACCTGACATCCATCATTAGTTCTCCTTCGAGCATAGTTGTATTATATAGATTTGAGGTCATTGGCCATTTGGGGGAAAGGTTCCAGCTTCTGACAGACAGAACAACATTAGCCATGGGTAAGCCACAATTACTACTTCACCTTCAGCTGACTGACAAACGAAACAACCTTTTGATCTTTCCATTGCCATGCAGCAACCAAGGATGTGGAAGCCATAGAAACCGGATCTAGCCGAGAGAATTTCACGTGCACAGACGATTCTCGTCTTGCAAGCTAACATAGGGATACATAACTTCATAAGGGACATCGATGATCACATTCTCATTCCCATCACGGTGGGGAAATGTTGAATCCACTGGTCCCACACCCAATTTCCCACCGCCCAGAGTGCACGTTTTGTTTGCGGAAGTCTTTTTCAAGTTTGAATTTGCTGATATAATCATTGTGATGTATTCCTGCGATGGTCCATTTGTGCACGAGGAGGGAAAAGACAAAGTGGACTTGCCAGTGCCGAAGGACCCGCTGAAAATTGAAGTTGTAAGCATTGATGCAATTGCGAGGCAGAGAGGAAAGCACATAAAATACTACAATCGTTGACCACACTTACATATTCCGAGCTAATATATATATATATATATATAGAGAGAGAGATGCATAATAACTTAATAGTATATACGAAAGCCAGCCGATGGGCATGGCTGAGTCCTCGATGAGCGAACAAAGTGAGTCATAGGGTGTGCGTAGTCGCAGGGCGGTACCCGCCGGGCCCAGAGCCTGGTGGGGGAGAACGGAAAAAGAGGCGGTCCAAAATGTAGTGAACATGTATGTTATTTTTTTATGGTTTTGGTGAGGCGAGTGATGCAAATGACGCTGAGTAGGCATAGTACATCATTAGCATTACAAAGTGATCAGTGATCAATAGATTATTAAAGTGGTCTATTGGGGTGAGTGGACGATCATTACAATTCATTACATTGTTTTCAAAGCGATAGGAAGGGAAAGCAGCGCTTGACTTTCATTGTTCTAGTAGCTGAGTTGAAGTCACTGATTACAGTCATGGTGCTTGACCTAGCTTTGTTCTGTATGCAGATCGACTAGAAAGGTTGAATACAATAGTCCTCCTGGGAAAAAATTGCCGCAGTCTAAGTACAATGTTGGGGGTGCCCTTTGTAAGCTCCAAAAGGGCCCTAAGCCCTAAGCCGGAAGAAACAGGGCACCCCTAGAATTGTAAATGTCCAAGGGAGTTGAGTACAGGGCCTTGTGAAGATAGGTGCTATCATATCGAGCCTCAATGTGAAACTTTGCGTATCTCTGCCTTCTGCTTTTCCGTGGCTGAGAAACGTATGCAGCTTCGACTTCACCCTACAACATCAAAAATATACTATTGACGTCTCAATCCCTACAGGGGCTGGCTTTCGTCTCCTCCCTTCTCAGGTAGCATATATACAACTGAGGACAACTGTGCCATTCAACTCAGCAGGAGCACACTCGTGCACTACAAAACAGGTGCTGAGGGCTGCGAGCGCTTGAATGTCGAACAACTAATTCCAAGGGATTCTAAAGGTCGAAGTCCGAGCTGCTGGACGTACTGTTTTGCCTTCAGTTTGGCCTTCCTTGTTTGGCATTCTTTGGGTGGTAGCTGAGTGCCCGATCATGCCCGATCCCATTTTTGCAAGATCCATCAAATCCTTTGCATGTGAGTCGTGTGAGGCAGAAAAAGGGGAATGCCATTGTAGCAGCAGAGACTGTCGTGGCTACTTGGTTTCAGAGTTTCTTCTTCTACTGCGTTACTCAGCGCTGCAAGTAAGGCCCAAGGACTTCAACTTGTATTGTAGTATGTTGCAGTTCAAAGTTTAGAGATTGTATAGAGCGTTCCGCAAAAATAAGAGTCTTCCAGAAACGATCCAGGTCTCCAGTGTGCCGGACGCACAAAGTGGGTCAGATACTTGGAAGTTTGTACCCGAGCATGAGATGCTGAAAGAATGCATAAGCATGCTGAGGCCTCCGGAAGAGCAAGGGTTTGAAGAGGTGGAGTACCTTGCCGTGACAATATTTGCCCTGATGATTTTGCTGAATGCATTTGAAAGCTGAACATGCAGTCCGCATATGATGCAGTTCACAGTTCACCGAAATGTAAGATACAATTTATACTGGGGTGGATAACTTAGGACAAGAAAGACCATTTGATGTAGAAGTGTAAAATACATCTCTTCAGTGGCACACAGTCATGACAGACCATTCACACCCGCTCATCATCGTTGTTTTTCCCGCTGTGCTCCTGGAAGAGTAGAGCTAATGACAAAGCACATGTCATAGGACTGCCACTTTTCCACTTGCACTCGGCATATGTCATGGTACTTTGAGGTGTGTGGATTTGTGTGCATTAGCATTGCTAGTATTTTTCATATTTCGTTGGGGTTTGCCAACCTCATCATGTAGGGTGAAGAAAGTGAGGGTGAGTGCAGGTTCTTTGAACCCCCCATTGAGCATCCAGTGTGCACATAAGCTCAATATGTGGTAATATGTGCAATGTGCAACCCTTTAGTGAAGAAGGCCCTTCATGTGGTAGCAGGATTAAACACTTCTTGAGCAATTGATAGCTTTTCTTCATCACGCGATGCAGACCACCCGGCGCGAGCTCAGCTTCCAATCTCCTTGACAAGCTTGTTAGTCTCAGGTTCACCTACACAGTGGAGGTTCGGATCCTTGATAACGTATTCTCGCAATTTTAAAGAGCAGCTTGCGCTTTGTTGTGCTTTGCATATTCTCTTAGCATCAACTTTTGCTTGCAGAGGTGGTGGTCGGAGAGGTGTCTTGGAAGCAGCCAAATTTGCTTAAGCAGCAAGAAACTCCATTATGGTCTGTGTGGGTCTGAGTCGAGGATGTCAGCCTGCCATGGTTTGGGGGTTAGGTTTTGACTCATAGCAATGTCAAGATACCAGGTTAAATCAGCTATTGCAAGGTCAATTGAGGTCACAGAGAATGAAGAGATAAACTGCGTGCCTTCCATGGCTTGTTCTCACGAAGAGGAAGCTTGCAACATGCTGATGACTTCTTCCAACCATTGTAGACCTGGTGGCCTGAGGACCTTGGTTTAGGTTTGATCCTGGACGTGGGTGGCAGTCACGCAACTGTTGCGTATGTGCGGCCCCATGGCCTTCTTGATCGCTGGAATCACAGGCAGAGTGTGGCGGCAGTTTGCCAAATGTCAAATTATCCTGACAGATTTGAAAGGTGCGAAGACTCACGTATTGTTGCTTGCCTGCAAGCAGTTCTCCAGACTACATTCTCCTGTGGTTTGTTCCTTTGAGCCTGACCCACGTCAATTGTTTGCAATTGGCCAGCTGAGGTGCGTCATGGCGATGTGCTAATTTCTGTGGATGACGTTCCGAGGCAGTTTGCTGAACTCGCTCATTTGCTTCAAAACCAGCCACATGCAGTACGTGTGCCTCACACTTACTGTGTAAAGAAGGTTTTGACAGCTTTCGCCGTCTTTCATATGCTTGGATCATCTTGCATCCATGATCCTCTCACATTTTGTTGCATCACCTGGATAAATAGGTGGTTCGCAAGCACACCATTTTGTCTGAGTTCTTGCTACATAGAGCAAAGAGACAGCGCACCAAGACGTTGAATAGGAGTTTGATCTTGCAGGCCTCCACTGGAACTCATCTCGAAGTTGCACCAGCACAGCCCTGGACTATTGCGCTTGACAATTGCTTGCGCACAGCGTATCTTGGCAACTGCAAGTAAACTCGTTCAAGAGTTGCAAATTGGAATACAGCGATGCAGAACGAGATAATAATGATCAGCCACTTAGCCACTTCAATTAGAGAAATGTGGACTTGTCACTCGGCCCTCGCTTCGAGAGTTGTTGAAATGGCATGCCTCGAGTGATGTCCAGGTCCAATGTGATTTGTTTCCGCCAAAGCTTTCTGCTTTCTAAGTTTGATGAATTCAACAGATGCTTGTGTAACTGTGTAACTCACAAAAGTCAATGAACATTGTACAAGAATTCCACAGGACTGCCTGCCTTTGCAGATGTTTTTAGTGCTGATAAACCGGGTGTCCCAGCACGATGCAACTGGCTACGTATACACAACTATATACTTTATTTTCCGGATATTTGTGATGTATCCATTCAGCCAAGAAGTCCTTTGATTTACTTACAGGTTCGACAACATGATAAGTGACAGCACTTTTTAATCTAGTCTTCGGCTTGTTGCAAATACCACACTTCTTGACACAACGCTCATCACAGAAGAGATTTTGTATATAAGTCAGACAAGGCATCTCGTTTTGAGAGGCTTCGACGAGCTTTCCCACTGCGTGCCCGATGATCCGCCAGAAGAGGTGCGGTAAGCTGTACGTGTGCATGTCTCATTGCGCCCGGGCTTTAGTATAGGAACAGAGCAGAAAATTGCGAAAATAGGACTGTCCAAGTGAGCAGGCTTGCTTTGCACATTGCATAAGTTGGGAATGCGGCAGAGCAGATCCTTAGATAGTTTTTCTGACATCCAGCCAGCATCCCACACCAGCAGTGGGTCAGAGTGAGGGAAATCTAGATACTCTTCCAACCTTTTCATAGTAGAAATCGAAGGCTAGACACCGCTGCAGCAGGCTGATACCTTTCTGGTGCGGGTGGAGTGCTGTGACTAATCTGAAAGATTCTGAAAGTAGTAGCTTCTTGCTCCTAGTAGTACGGCCAGGAGGCCCTATAGGGTCCTTGCTCCTAGTAGCGATGCCAGGAGCCCCTAGTAGCTTCTTGCTCCTATGTTGAGGTTCTGTTGTTGTTTTCTTGTCGGTTCAAAATCCAGATCTGAGGCCCAGAGAATCTTTGTGAAGACCATACTGATCATGTTTGGTCTGAGCGCCGGGAGCGCACTGGGCTTTAGTTTTTGCAGCACAGATCTCTTGACACTGCTGATTATTCAATCATGTTGCACTAAGTGAAGCTGTCCAAGTCGCTCGGCAGGGTCACCAACTCTTGCTTTTTCATGCTTGAGAAGGATCTTACCCCCGACCCTGCCGGCACCTACCCAAATGATGCGTATTACCGTGCTTTGTGGTCTTCTGGCTTTTTATATGTTTTGGACATAGGTTGCTGGTGCAAGCTATGCCGACCAGGTTGCCATGCTGCTGTGGCAACCCAAGTGCAGTTTCTTCCAAGACACGTTGTATTCACGCACGTTCATGAACCAGCAGTGTTGGCTTGAAGTTTTCAATTCAGCTTGTTAGACTCGGTAAATCGTTCGTTTCACCTTGGTGTGGCGGGCAAGGCTACCACCACATCTGATAGCTGGGTTTGCACAAGCCAAAGAATGAACTGTGAGCTATCCACGCTATTGGGATTCATGTTCTGCTTGAGTGTCAATCCCAGAAGACCGTTGCTTTCGGCAAGTTCAGAGGGCAGACTTTTCAAGGACCTCTTGCTGAGAGCAAGCACGCTGAGATGCCGAACCTGGCAGATTCAATATCATTATTTTTGGGACTCTATGAAACCCTTTTAGATCTCAGGCTTTCTCTCAGGATACCTTGCGGCTGCCAAGTGAAGCAAAAAGATGTTTTGACTGCATGGATGGCAAACTTTGGCCTCAGAATGCCTCAGATATTGTTCCAAAGTCACAAACCAGTTGCCAGGCGTTCCGCATTATGCAAGAGCTCGGACTGCAGCCAAATGAGGTGGGATGCATGCTTGACGATCCACTTTACAGCAGAATTGCTGGTCTCACCTGAGCTCCTCCGTGGCTTCACATAAGACTGAGTTGACTGAGTCTACTACCAGAAGCATCACACCTATTCACACCTCGCTTCGATGGTTGGTGATTGTATTTCTTTACATCCTTGTTTTGTCGCCTCCACTTTGTCCGATTGGTGTGCTCACGCTTTGCCATTCTTTCCCCAGGTCACTTATACAGCTTTGCTGCGCATGGACCTTGGTTAATGGTTGATCAAGTTGATCAGATAATGTGCTGTCGACCCTAAGTTTTCACACCTGAAGCTAGGGGGATGACATTCGGGCGGAAACATGGATTGTTTGCCTTTTCTCTTGTACAACAGGTCCTTTGCAGATTTGCATGGGTCTCGTCTGGTCTCGTCAATTAGTATTAGTCTGAGATTGAGATCGATCTTTGAGGATGCTCGGATCTCGGATCTCGGTGATATATCTCGAATCTTGATCTTGGATCTCGAATCTCGGATCTCGGGTTTGATTATCAAGTGCGTTCTGAATCGGTCTGATAAGTCTATATCAGCCTGTATAAATGAACATTGTGTAGTCAATCCCTTGCACTAGCGTGTTTGGAAGTTTGGGATGCACATTGCAGTACACCGGGCAGAATATGCAGCAGGCTGCCTACCAGGAGATTGTCTTTTGTTGCGTTCTTCATGTTCTTATTCGTTTTCTTCTTCACCATCATCATCTTATATTTTCTTCTTGTTTGCGTTGCTTCAGTGATCCATGGACCCAAGATCGCTTACATCAACAGCAGTGTCAAGTCAAGGGCATCCGAATGCATCCGGATTAGAGATTGCTAGACCAACATGACTAATGACTAATTTTACAATATGCCATTCCAAGTCACCATAGGTTTGCTGCAGAGGGACCTATGTTCAACTATGTTGAACAACTTTCTCAGGTGCTCGACTTCTTTCTGGTGATCTTTTAGGTGCTGAAGACCTTCAAAATGAGCTGAACGTGGTTCTGACCTTGCATTCTTGAGTGGACCAAGTGGTTGGCGATCAGAGCCATGTTGTTGGAAAAGGCGTACTCAGGTGGGCTATACGCTTCTGATCGATGCATATGCAAGGCATCGCCCGCATAACATTCATTTGCTGGTAATTACATGTAAGATACAGGAGATCACAGCAGCATGGAGGATCCAATGAACGCATTTTTGATGGTAGCCATTGAGAAACCATTGGGAAGCAATCGAGTCCCTTGACCATTTCTATTGAAAGCTTGAGCAAGACAAATTCAACCACAAATGTGCCGTTCTGAAGCACTGAAGGACATTCCAGGCGTTGTCTTTTGCTGACATTTCCTGCAGGGTGGGCAATGTCGAAAAAGCTGAAGCGGCAGTTGATGCACTGTCTATGAACGCGCAAGGATCTCAATTCTCGAAAAACACCTCAAGCGTTGACCTGACGTGCTGAGACCCACTGAGGGCACCAAATCTGGCTACCTACACCGCCTTGATGAAAGCCTATTCACGGGCTTGAAACTTGGACTTGCCGTGTAAAATATTTGGTGCAGCATGTGTGCACGTATTTGTTGCACTTTGACTATCGTGTGGTAGTATCACGATCGTAGCAAATGATATCGGCATTGACTGAAGAGTCCAGGCGCACCAGCTGCAAGGGGCAGAGGCAGTGATGAGCCGTATGAAAGCTCAAGGCAGAAAAGCCCTGAAACGTCCCAAGTGGATGATTCAGGTTCATCAGTTTCATCAAACATAAAATATAACTAACACATTTTGGCTTCCTGCCGCCCCCTCTTTAGAATTGGACAATAACTCTCATCTTGGGTGCTGCCGGCAATCATGGGGCTGCAGCATCCCAACCTCATCATCAATTGGACATAACCCTCGCCTTCCTCAGTATGTTCAATGCTGTAACTTTCAAGATGTCGCAAATGGATGCAAATGGAATATCAGCAATTGTAGCCGACACCTGTTCCATCAGTTCTCAGATTGAGTGAGCAGCGCACGCGGTTTGCACCTTCCAAAACTTCCCAAATTGGTTTCACTTTCCACAACAGTACTCATTCTCAAAGTCTGATGCCCAACTTTGTTGCTTGGCTTTGGACATGAAATAGGTATATAATGCATTGCGTTCGCTTAGAAGGTCCTAGAAGACAGGTGCTGGACTGGGCGGCTTGATTGGCCCTTTTCCTTTTAACATCTATGTGTGAGGATCACATCCAAAGTCTTGGCTGCAAGAGTTCACCAATACACAAAACTGACAGAATTCGTAAGGTTGTAACTAATATATACATGTCACCTCGTTTTTTACAGGGAACACAGGCATTGGCTTCGGAATGCGCATTATCATTTCCGTGCCTTGAGCGCAGGATTGGAACCCAACTCAATTACCTATGTGACTTTGATCGCCGCACATGGCAAGGCACAATATTTGCTTTGAACTGAGTGCAATTTAGGAGACGTACTGTGCCTGAGGATGCAGCTGCTTTCTGGTGATTCTAGTGTTTGAACAACAACCGGTGCCAAGTGTTTCTCAACAGGATTCTAGACTGAAATGGTTTTGAGATTTAAGAAGTCTCAAGCCCTGAGAAAGGCATCATATACTGTGTGTTGATTTGGTATCTCCTCTGGGCATTCAGGCAAAAAGTTTGCAGAGAGCGGAGGAACTTTACAAGGAGCAAGGGTACTTGCCTGAACTGTTATGCAAAGAGATTACTTTTGTAAGTTCAAATCTAGATTGTTTTAAATTTGAAGCCACATTGATACATGTCCTTCCTTTTGTTTGCTTTTTGCGTGCTCCCCTCGTGCTTCTTGTTCCGTTAAAGTGCCAAGTGCATTGTTGCATTTGGTGTGCCTTTGGGGATTGCTGTCACAAAGGGTCAGGCATTCCAGACACAGGACGGTTCTGGAAGGCATGATTAAAACGCTATCATGTTGGTGGTGCTTGGTGGCAACTGTCTTTCATCCTTGCTGAGTCCGAATTTGGCAAGTGCGACAGCAATGATTGGCGCTTATGGCAGGCTCGGGCATTGTTATCACTACATTCCACATCCATTTGCTTCATCCAAGAGAACTCACTTGCTAAACATTCCAAAGGCGTTTCTAAACCATAACCATGCAAACGCCTTTGGATCATCCATGGTTAAAGGATGTTAAAGGCATTTCTATGTTTGTCCGCTTTCGTTCTTCAAGGGTTCTTCAAAGAAGCTCCTGCCCTGCCGAGAGCAGCCCTGCCCTTCATACAATCATCCTACCCAAGAAAACAAGACCTCCATTGCTGTTGCTGTAGTGAATAAAAGGAATAGACACTTCCCACCTTGAGAAAACCGGAACCTTGTGGGCTAGGCTAGCAAGCAGCCAGCCAAAGCCGCCAGCCAACTCAGTAAGGTCCAGCACTGCCGCACCATTTTGTTTCCAATGACACCCACATCTCATTTGCTCCGGATCCTTTACCCAACTATGTCAGTTGGCCGGCCAGCCAGCCGACTAGCGAGGTCCCGGACCATAGAACCAAGCAAAAACAAACGAGCAAACCTCGTGGGATTCGCAATGTGTCTTTTCATCTATAGGGCATTTCAAAATCCTTGTTCATGTTTACGTCGGCCCTGTTCCCCGAACAATCTGAGATGCTTCTGTGTCCTTGCTACTAGAAACGTCCTTGAACTTCCCTCTTCACAGCCTCCTCCCTAAAAGTTTTCTGGATAGTATATATATATATATATGTAGACAGTGTGTGTATATATATATGTGTGTGTACAGTATATATCACGAAAGCCAGCCGGTAGGCAAGCCTCAAGCTTCTGTAGCGAACGAAGTGAGTACACTGGGGGTGGTCGCGTACGTGGACAACTCCGGAGAGGTGAACCCAGAGCCTGGTGGGGGAGAGCGACAAAAAGAGGCGGGCCACTGGGTAGCGAAAATGAGTGGCTTTTGGTGATGTTGTGATGCCGATGATGTAATTGACAGCCAGTAGGAGGCTATGTAAATTGTTTCTGAAGCTTTCCCGGGGTGCCCTTTTTCACCTCTACAACGCCTCGACAGCAAGACGGAAAAGGACACCCCGCCCAAGTCTATGTATTGTACTGTCCACTTCCACTCTATCTTAGGCTTTCCCGGACTACGGGGGTGTCCCTTTTCACCTCCACAACGCTTCGACATCAAGACGAAAAAGGGCACCCCGTCCCAAGTCCATTTCCATTCTATCTCGAGCGACGGCTATTGAGAGCATGTTCTGGATTCCAATGGTTGCAAAATCTTGGCCGCAAAAGAAGATGCAATGGATATCATTGCATAGTTTTGCCGTTGGGGTGAGTATCAAGAATGCCTGATAGGGCGACAGCAGAAAACGTTGGCCGATCACCCTGACAATGGGAATGGCTTGGCATCACGAGAGGTGGCACGTTCAAACACCTGGAATCCTTCTACCTGCTGACATTGGCAAGTGGATGCTGCTCACGACGTTACAAACTTCAAGGCGTTAGAGTCGTTTTGCTGCCCTTTCTATCTGGCACCCGGACTCCTTTTGCTGCCCTTTTCCATCTGGCACCCGGCTCGGGGTGCCAGATGGGAGAAGCTGCTTCCATTTTCTTTACTCACATCAAGACGAAAAAGGGCACCCCGCCCCAAGTCTATGTATTGTACTATCCATTTGCGTTCTCTTTCGAACGACGGCCATATCCACTTTACCGCTTCCGGATCCTCTTCGTCCACTCTACCTGTACACATATATGTATCCTGACGAAAGCCTGCCGATAGCCTCGCCCAGACAGAGGCCTCCCACAATCTTCTTTGTTCACTCATCATCAACATGCCATGTAAATTGTTTTGACTAGGGGTCGGAGTTCGCGTCGACGAGAGGAAAGGGGAGAGAAGGGGACATGAAAATCTGGATCCTCTTTGCCCAATCACTTCATCTTGCACGCCAAGTCTTGTCAAGGCTGTACCCTGGGAGGCAGACCGCTTGCACCACGTTTGCCCCCTCAAACCTCTTTCTTGCTGAAGTACCGGCTCCCTGCGCGCCGCGATTACATTCGCAAGTGGCACGGTGCCTACATCGACCGGAAGACAAGAAAACTAGTGCGGATTATCTACAGAGTTTTGTGACGGACCTTGGCGCCAAGCTTTTCCTTTGTACATTCCTCACAGCGCAGCTTCGGAGGCTCGCTTTCGTCCCCTCCCTTCTCAGCTATATATACACATATATAAGTACAGTATATATACTATCACGAAAGCCAGCCGATAGGCTAGGCTGCAGTGTTGGGGAGCGAACGAAGTGAGTAAAGGGTGTGTGGGGGGGTGGTCGCCAGATGGGCAGGTTCGGAGGGGCTGACCCAGAGCCTGGCAGGGGAGAGCGAAAGGGACGTCGCCGGAAAATAGTGAAAACGAGCTGCTTTTTTTGGTGTTGCGATGCAAGTGATGTAATTGACGGCGAGTAGTGCATCATTAGCATCATGAGGGGCTCAGGAGGCAATGTAAACCGTCTTGTAAAAATGGGCTGGCTGGTGGTATCAACTCACTTGAAACATAGACCAACCAACACACCATACCAAACCTTCCCCGCACTACAGGGGTGCCCTTTTTCACCTTCACAACGCCCCGACATCAGGACGAAAAAAGGGCACCCCCTCCCAAACCTATGCATTCTTCTATTCCACTCTTTCTCCAAGGACGGCAATATCAACTTCACCACTTCCGGCTACGCTTTGTCCACTCTACCTATATATATACATATATGTGTCCTCGCGAGGCCTGCCGATACCCTCGCCCATAGGCCCCCCACAACCATCTCTGCTCACTGATTAGCGACACGCAGCAAGCAAACGCGCATTTAAAAATTGAGGGCCTCAGGGGTGCCCTTTTTCACCTCCAAACCGCCCTTGAACCTAGACAAAAAAGGCGCCCCCCCAAACCCCCCATCCGGCGACTGCGATGTCAACTTGACCCCATACATACAAGTAATCTTGGTCCGATGTTCGCCAATCACTTCATCTTGCACACTCACGTCGCTGCAATATCAACTTCACCACTTCCAGCTACATCTTTGCTCACTGATTCGCAACACACAGCAGGCGAGCGCCCCTCACTTCTTTAAGGATCCCCTTTTTCACCTCCAAAACGCCCCCGAACCGGGACGAAAACAGGCACCCCCCCCAAGCCTATGTATTCTACTTTCTGTTTCGGCCCCCTATCGGGGTGGCTGCGATACCAACTTCACCTCATGAAAGTACTCTTTCCCCGATATTACCCAATCACTTCATCTTGCACGCCAAGTCTTTGAGTCCATCTACAGGACCTCAATAACAAACTGCGAGCAAGCGCCAGGCTTGCCCTAACGGCACCCCCGGTCGGCTTTCGTCCCTTCCCTTCTCAGGTATCCTATATACTGTATACTGTATAAACTATATATGATTATTAACATTATGAATTCTGACTAAGGAGAATGAGGTCTTTGGCTCCACAAATGTTTGTATTCTTTTCCGCGCAGGGCCAAAGATGCTGAAAGAGCGCAAGGAGTGTTTGACGAGCTTTGTGCACAGACTGTCAGGCAATTCAGTATCTTTAGGAACGGCAGACAGATAACTGTTCTACGTGTGTTCCTCTTTCAAATGCGATCTTGTGTTCCAAGGTTCTTTCCCGGTGCATGTGCAAACCAACAATGTCAACTATGTAATTGATGTTCGGTGAAATGTAGGCCAGATGCTATTTGCTGCCGGCAGCTGTCACAGGCTCTACATACATTCCTGCTGTTGTCTCGCATGAGACAGTGTTGCAAGTTGTTGCCAGTTGCAAAACACAGAAATGTGATGTCCTTTTGAATGCGGTGATGCCATTGCAAAGGTTTGATTTCAATTGCAAAGGAACAAAGGAAAAGAAGCAGGAAGAGGTCGTGTAGCAATCACAAATGTGAGGCCTTAACCGGGGCACGTCCGCAGAGCGAGAGAAAAGTCTATTGCAAATTGCAGCCCTCAGTCCTGCTCAGCAGAGAAAGAATCTGCAATGCAAGCAGAAATGCCTTTGAAGCAAGCATTGCAAGCCACGGGCGTGCTCGGCAATTTTGCGCAGTGGCTTGGACCAGATTGAGCGGAGGGTGAAGTACATGCATGTTGTTATCTTTACAGTCTTTACATATTGTGCACTCTAGTAGCAGTAGGTTTTGTGAGTTTGATGTGTTTCGTCCAAACATTGACCATTGATCAATCATTTATGATTTCAGTGCAATCACTCCTTCATGGCTCCTCCAGAATTGGCATGGTGGGCTGGACGGGCATTGCAGTAGCTGCTGAGAAGCTGAGCACAAGTGATGAACGTTACAGATATTACAATAGCTGCATCTCTGAAGAGTGAAGTTCAGTGAAGATGGGATGTTTGAATCACGGATGCTCCATGGGTTTGCAAGGAAGGGTGCTGTTCTGGGTTCTTTGCTGGGTTGCTTCTCTGGATTGGTGGGTTTCTTGCAGAAGTTCAAGGAGAAGGCAGTACCAACAGTTTTGAGATCCTTCTCTCATCTATTCTCTTGCTCCCAGCTATCTTCCAATTGGCCTGCAGTTTGGATTGTAGTTCCATTCTTGGAGGCACCGAAACTCACACAGAGTGCAGTGCCTGCAGCGCCATTGCAACGTTTGCGGCCATTTGGTTCCACGATAGAGGCGATCATTCATACCAGTTTGGCAAACTTTTGGCAAGTTTGGAAGGCAAAGACTCTGAATATGAGAATGTTTGATTGCATGTTCATTTTTACGAGCAGTGTGATTCATTCTTGTGTTTATTCTGTAGTAGTGTCTTGTTGTGTGCCTTTGTTTACATGGAATTGATAGGCTTCAGAACCGCTGACAGAGAAGCTGAACTTGTCAGGCCCCCTCAAGTTCTGCGGCCCCGCTCAGGGAGCCTTCTTTCAAGCATTCCCTTGGTGACCACGGGGCCTCGGACGAGGCAAGTTGCGGGGGCCCAAACATTGGTGGCCCTCGCTCTCACAAGGCTCTCACAAGGAACAGTAAAGAATAGCAACCAGGACAACGGTGAAGAACACTTTTGAATGACACTAAAGGGGGTTCTTGCGGTAGGAGTTAAGAGCAGTGCCCAATTGGTGTTCTGCAAACGCGGGGGCTGCACTTTTCTCGCCTGCCACCGAAAGTGGCTTTTCCGGCGGCGATAGTCTTGCACGAAATGCGCGTCCCGTCCCGGTGCCGGTTTGGGCGCGTCTCTAGCTGCGGCACCGTGCGCATTATTGGACTTGCAGGTCCTGGGAGGGACCCTTCTGCGAGACCAGCGCTACACCACTCCCACAGCGCCATCAGCCCGCTCGCAGCGCCACAGCGCCATTCGTATTCGCACCGAACTCCCCAACCTCTGGCTTCTAGCTACTAGATTATACCAGCATAGACCCCAAACAGCTTCAAAACGATCGTTGGGACCAATAGTAATTAGTCAAACACGATTTCTTGGTGTGCCCTACCTTCCCCCCCAAGAGCAAATTGCTTTATCAATGATTTTTGTCGGCATCGACATCGCTAATTGTTCGGTCACAAGAGAAGACAAGAGAAGAGCAGGACAAGAGAAGACAAGAGGAGGACAAGACCCGGTCACAGAGCCCGGCCACAGAGCCCAGCCACAGAGTTCAGCCAGGACGACTTTCTAAGATAGAACCCCGACAAGGGAAAAACTTTGTTACTAAGAAGCTTCAAAGACACACAAGAAAGCTTCTTGTTACTACAGGTGAAGCGATTCCCAGTGACACGATTCCCAAGGAAGCTTCTAGTTACTAGAAAGCTTTCTTGTTACTAGTAGTGATGGCCAACCTAACACTGATGGCCTCCACCTAGTAGCTTCCCCAACCTCTGTTTTTCCAGACTCACTCACTATTCAGGAGAGGGAGGCGCACACATGCGCACACTAATCGGCGGTCCACATTATGCCACAGGCAATCTTCCATTAATATATACTATATACTTTCAATTCAACTCTACATCTAATGGTGCATGGAAAGAACAGCTCGGGCTCTTGAAGCAAAGTGCGCATTTCGTTGTGCCTGCGTGCGTCCATCGCATTTGCAAGGGGTGCACGTCGAACATCAGGTTATATATATAGTTATATATGTGTTTTCGGTTGAGTTCAAGCATGTCACGAACTATATAATATGATTTTTTGGTTTGTGTGAGTCAGAAATGAATGTTTGCTTGGTACAGCAGCTTCGTAAAAGACCATGTTCCTTCTCCAGGAACTCCCTGAGACCACCTTCTTGTGTTTGTTTGCTCGCCTCGCCTACGAGGCTGCGTGGCATCATGATAAGCCATAAATTTGTGGTTTGGGACAACTTGTCCTTTAAATTTTTTGTGTCATGTTGCAGTAGTAGTAGAGGCAAAAGGTAGCTTGCAAGTCGGAAAAAAATTGAATACAAGATAATACAAGCAACTGCTAAGCCATCCAACGGTCAGGCTAAACTTGGCCATTTGCACTCTGAACCTGGGAAGCCTGCCAAGGAGCGGGGAGCTGGGACGTTCATGTGAGGAGTGACGAGTGAGGATGGACTAAGTAGCTACTGGTAGTTTCTTGTTGCATCTTGTTAGTAGTAATGCCAGGAGCTACAGCAATGCCCTTGTTGCTAGTATTAGCCTCTTGTTTCTAGCATAGAACCCGGTAGTCTTTCCCATTGCAGGTTCTGTTTGAACTAGGTATGTTGCATCCACAGGGCAGCACGCGGGTCGCCGAGAGCCAACCTCGTGCGCATTCTGAGTCGGAAGCTTACAGTAATTTACAGCCATGCCTGCCCTTTGTGTTGGCAGGGATGTTCTATTCTAGTCAACTTCAGTGTGTTTTTGTTGACCTTGCGTAGCAAATCCCAACTCCTTTCTGCCAGACTTCACAGCAAAAGGATTGCAAAGCATTGTCTTTCTGAGAGTATTCACGATGATTTGCGGGATTCCATACATGTGGTATGAAAATACTGAAATAACATGAAATAACTAGTTTCCCTCCAGTTCAACTGATACATGCCACTACTTGTCAACATGGTCGCCCGTAGCACATTCCGACAAAGAAGAGCTTGAGATCGTCATGGCCCAGGTTTGATGTGAACATGTACATGAGCATACTCAGTTCTTTCGGACAACAGCCTTGATAAACACTGCAGGAGTCCAAAGCTGCCACCTTGGTTGAGGACCGACATCAAGCTGGGCTGCAAAAGACATTGCGATGCCTCCCAAAGCATATATATATATGTGAGCCCCAAATAGCCCCAAGAACATCCTGAAACAATAATTTTTGACAAGTGTATTGTGTAGGTTCCCGGTCATAAAGGTTGATCTTACTTTGCTCTTTTGGCAAACCAGGGAAAGAGTCTACAACGAACAAACGTACAGTACCAGCCAGCCCACACAAAAGCATATCATATTATGTTATATCACGACAGCGAGCTCATTTCCAATGATGAATCCAGAGAAGACTTGAGGATGAGCTCGCGTGCTTTGATGGTCACCCACTGAAAATTGATAGAATTCTCTTTGCACCTGGGCGGAAGCACCTCAAGGTGCCATGTGGGCCCCGAGAGGGTGCTTCAAGAATGGAGCCATACAAGACTCATTGTCGGACTTTAGCTTCAAAGCATCGATAATTTGTGTAATCTTGTCAAGCAACGCTACATCATGCTGAAAGAAAGATGTGTGGTTGACAAATATCGTCCAGGGTGACTGTTTTTCATATTGACATATTGGCTACAGTGCCTTTTCATTTCTCGGCTGGAAGTCATGTTGACAGAAAGGACCCCCGGAATGTTGTCACTGCATGTTCCTGATATCTTCCTTCTCGAAGGTGACATATCCTGGTACTGGAACTGGCACCATAGCCTTTGTTTGTCAGCAGCTTGGTGCGGACTTGAATGATGCAATGTTTTCACTGCCTCGGTGTCCTCTACACTGTCTAATGTTTTCCAGGCAACTTTGATTTGCCAAGCTGCGACCGAAAAGCTGTGACCACCAGGCAGGCTTGCTACTGGTTCAACCCTTGAGAAGCCTGTTTCTTTGATGCTTTGGAGGTGCCTCCCTTGTGGCGCTTCGCCGGTGCTCTATCCAGGAGGTGGTAACTCAAGCATTTCGTGACGAACCCTGCACTGGCTTTTGGGAAGTCAGGTGTTGGTCATACAGCACTGCTTGTGCTGGCCTCAAGGAGAAAGAGCAAGCGCAAGACAATGCTCGTGACAATGCTAATACACTTATATATATATAAGGGTATTCATATTGGGATTGAGAAGAACATCCAATTTTGCACTGATCAAGATCGAGAGAGTTGGCAACGGCTGTAAACCCTTACATTAGCACATTCACATTCCCCAAAACAACATTAGCGTGTCGAGAAATTGTTGATTTGAAGCCAAGCTGGCTGATAGCAGGTCCTGCTGCTTTGTGAGCTAGCACGTTCACTGCCACAGCTGACAAACAGCATTGTTTGTGTGTGCAAAGCTCAGGCACTCTCTATCTTGTCAAGGAGGTTAAAGGTTCCAAATGAGCTTGAATTCAGAAACACTGCCACAAAGGTTTCTAGCGGCACACCGCAACGGAGAGGGGGGTTGCGCTGAGCTCCTGTCCAGCGGGCACCTAAACGAGCTGAAAGGGTGCGCTGCCGGCTTGCAGCTCATATTGCGACTGATAAAGTATCCTAATAGCAATGGCCTCCAACCTAGAAGCGATGGCCTCCAACCTAATTAATAGCAATGGAATTGATGATGTGTTTGGCTCCATGTTACAGGGATGCAACATTACCTTGCCAGGCCAGTGTATTGGCTGGATGGGGCAGCTTCACCTCAGCAGGAGCCAGCAAACTTCAAGAGTTACAACAAAAAAAAGGCTGCGCTTCTAGTTTAGAGACCCTAAGGCCCTAAGGCGACGGAATAACGGAATAAGAACTTGCCTTTGTTGTTCATGTTCTTCACACAGCGGTTGAGCGCGGTTTTTAGACCGCACAATCGCAAGGAGTGGAGTTTGGGAGTGCCTTGCTTGTGTACCGGAGCCACTGGCTCCTTATCTTGGCCGCTTGATGAAGTTCAGCCACAGCATTTCAAGCAAAGTTGAAGCAAACGGAGTTAAGAGATGTCGAGATGGGTTGAGATGAGTTGAGGGTGCTGGGGGATCGGCATGTTTAAGGGCACTACGAGTGCGCTCGCCAGCAAATCATTCAGCTCCTTCTGTTGAGCAACTTGGCATTGGTTTGGAGTGTTGCGACGTTTCAGGAGGAACTTCGATTAATGGGGGCTGCGGGGTTGAGAGTGGTTTGTATATATATATATTTTTATATACGTATACATTTATGTTGGCCCCAATACTAGCGGCGCTGAAGGCGTTCTTTTGTGAAGCTGGCGGTTCTAATTGCCACTTGCTGGTTTGCAACGTAGCTCCTGATAATTTGAGGTTGGCAGTGCAAGCAGTTGCCTCAATGCA